TCCATGCAAGATTAGCCTGCGCTGAATCTATCCTTGGTCTAGCGTATACTCCTGTTCACTGACCCCCATCTGATCCTCTCAGGTGTTTATGTGTTTATCTGTAGCCTGGTGTTTGGTGTTAATGGTAATGCAGGATTGTGGGCACACTGGTTGGTATTAGCATCTGTCATCTATCTCCTAAGTGCATAATTCATTGTCCTCCTTTTTCCTAATGTTACCATGGTGGTCTCAGACTTTTTCCATATATCCCTCCCTTTACCCACGTCAGCGTGTGGGCCCCAACTAGCCTGAAACCCTCATTATCTCTTGACCAGAGAGTTGCCATCCTTCTTAACTGCCTTTGTACCTTGGACCTTGGACCCTTCAAATGCATCCTTTACATAGCTGCTAGAGTCATGTAAAAGCACAAATCTCAACCAGGAAATTCTTAAAATTCTTCAATGCATTTTAAATTAGTTTTGAAACAGGAATGTATTAAAGTATTTTTGGAAGGCAGTTTGCAGGTGGAATTTAAATCTTCACGTGCCCTCTTAAGCAAATACCCTGTCACTGAGGCACAAATGTAATCACTTGCCATTGAGTTGATGGCGACCTCAATGTGGCAGAGTAAAACTTCTCAATAAAGTTTTCATGGCTGTCACTTTTCAGAAGAAGATTGCCAGGCCTTTCTTCCAAGGTAATTCTGGGTAGGTTCAAACCACTAACATTTTGTTTAGTAGCCAAGTACTTAACTGCACCACCGCCTAGAGACTCTTTCCAGTGTTCTGGGATTGAAATATGTTGAGATTCATAGGTACACAAGTTAAATAGAAAATTCGAGGGCATGTGTAAGAAAGACTCTCCATGTTCTGTAGGCCCACTGCTTTGTACTCCTTTCCTGCTCCTTCTCCTTAAGATACCTCCCTTCCATGTGATTCAGCACTCCTGACCTACACAATGGACTGTTTGATGTTGCTGCACTTTGTAAATACTATTCTCTGTGCTTGAACCCCCCTTGGAAAACTCCTATTCAAACTTCAACACTTTATCAGATGTCATGTCTTATCTGAAGCCTTCCCTGATCCCTCATACAGAGTCAATCATTTCATCCTCAGCATTACATAGATACCTTGTACATATTTTTTAAAACCAGTTTTCCTATCACATTATATGAAAACTGTTTCTTGCATTCTCTGGTTTCCACACTTGGATATTTTTCAGGAGCTGGATCCATGACTTTAGAGTCTCAGACCTTAACACGGTGTCTGGCACATGCTCAATAAACATTTGTGAAAATGAACTGAACCAAGTTTTTCACTACTGTTGATCCCTCCTGTTCTTCCTTCAAACACTTTATCATATACATCCTTTTATGCACACACACTCCTGAAAATGCTC